GCCATGAACTCAAATGCATGGGGCTGAGGAGACAGCCTGGGTGAAGCATGTGGAGTTTATTTGTGCTCATTTGGTTGACAGTACAGTAATAGGCAGTGATCCAATCTGCTTAGTGTTCTTACAGGCAGGAAATTCTGGACACAGACAGGTACTCCAAGGTGCAGATGCACAGAAGAAAGATTGTAAGGATGCGGTGAGAATGTGGTTGGCGCAGGCCCAAAAGGAAGGCCTGTAGGGGAGACCAGATCTCCTGACACCTTGACTTGTGGTGTGGCACTGAGAGAATATAACTTTCCATTCTCTAAAACACCAGGCTGGGGTATTTGCTATGTAAACCCTGGCAAACTAATGCCAATAAAGGGGAGTAATGGCAAACTCAGGTATGACTTCTTGTTGACCTACTCAGAAATACAGATCTAGTGCTGCCACGTTTAATCATTTTTCAAAAGAAGCCATGGACCAGTGTTTTAATTTAAAAATCCTGATTTAAAAAAAATTACATTGATTAATAAAATATGAAGCTCAACAGGCTCAAACAAAGTGCATAGATGTTTGATTTGACCCGTAAGCCTCTGGTTTGTAACTGTTGATCAAGCCTATATAGGCACCAAACAGTGTCTGGCCCAGCATAGGGTCTTCCTCAGTTATGATTAGAGGGATCTGATGATTCTGTGGGCCTAGGAGTAGAGCTGGGTCAACCACCTCTTGAGGTTTTCAAGGCAGGAGAAATTGGTGGTGCCGAAATATACTTTTTGAAGGTACACTTGGGCTGACACTGAGGGAGGGTCTGTAACTGCTGAGGTCAGGGGATAGTTAGGGAGTGTTTTCCAGTAAAGAAAGCAGTTGTGCATGTGCCCTGGGAAGAGAGTGTGGCTTTTGAAAGAAGTCCTATCCTATGTCTGGTGCATAGAATTAAAGCGGGAGGAGTGATGTCGAAGCAGGAAGGGACAATGGGGACCACGTTGCTAAGAAACTTTTCCAGAGGGCAATGGGAGTGACAGAAGAGTTGAAGCAGAAAGGGGTGGAATCTATTTTCAGAGATTTTCTTAGCTGTGTGTTGATCTGGAAGTGGTTATGGTGGAAAAAGGCACACCGGTTAGCAGACAGTGCAATAAATGACGGCAGTTTCAATTTAAATAATGGCAGTAGAAATAGAGCAAATATGAGAAAAAGCAATGAAGGAGAATTGACAAGACTTGTGATTGGCTGGGTATGAGGAAAGGGAGAAGAATGAGCCAACTGTGACTCCTGGTCTGCTTTAAACCACTGACTGGGTTTATATATCATTCACGGAGGTACCAATGTGGAGATGAGTTTAATTTTACATGTGCTGAGCTTGAAGGATCTGGATTATCCAAGAAGGACAGAGAAACTTGTATGAAAAAGCAGGAGATCTGGGTTTGAGACATACCTTGAGTACTTATTGGTGTGGAAATAATCACTAAGAGACTTGAAATATGTGGAGCGAAAAGGGAAGAGAGATGAAAGAGGAAGCTAAATTGGAGGAGATGAGTTAATTGGACCCTTGATCTATTTCATTGCAGGACTTTACTCCTTCTGTCCATATTTCTGTTAAGGTTTTTAAATTCAACATTAAAGCAAAAATAGTCATATCCTACTGTGGAGATTTCTGAAGGATGAAGAGACTGTTACTTTGGGTAGGAATAAATGATTAAGGTGGCAAGTGTTCAACATATTAATATGCTAAATTTATTTAGAAATGTTGATAGCATGAACTCTAGAATAATGCTTAAGGCCACCATGTAAGAAAGGTAATAATTATCTTAAGAATCACAGGAAAATGATAATGATGATTATATGCACAGTATTAGGGCAGAGACAAGGAATAAAACTTTTACAAGTGTGTAAACAAATAATCACTGCTCTTTAGGTCCGAAACCTTTGGACAATAACTCCTTTCTCATTATAAAATGTAAAACTCAAACTTTGTAGTTTCATAAGGACTGAGCTTAAATTGGGCATGCTATTGAAGTCTCTTCAACATGTGTGCTTTGATCATAAAATACAGAGAATCTTTAAATAAAAATTAAAACATTGTTCCAATAAAAGACAATACATTGTCATTAATCTCCTTAAAATACTCCTCTTGAGTGAAAAATGCTTATCCTATTGATCCTGCAAGTTTCTGAAGTGGTTCTGAAAGTCATTTTTTATTAATGTCTTTTCATGGCTGCTTTGCTATTCTGAATCAGTGCATCCTCATCCATGTTATTCACCAGATTTGGCATCATCTGATTTCTGGCTCTTCTCCATCTTCCAAATGACTATGAAAGGTAAGCACTTGGACTAGTTGCAGGATATCAAGGCAGCTGCAACAGCTCACTGAGGTCCCTGTTTCAGACACTTATGAAAGCGGACTTCCAGAACTGCTTCAGAAAGTGGCAATACCAATGGGGTAAGTGTGTTTGAATCAAGAGGGAGTATTTTGAGGTAGTTTAATAGCAATGTGTCTTAATAATTTAAAAAATTTAAGCATTCAATTATTGTTTGATCATAACATATAATCTGTCATACAGTATGCATGTATCACAATTTGTCCTCACTTCAGCAAGAATTACTATACATCACAGAAAGTCTATCAAGAAATGGAATAACAGCTGAACATATAATGATGCATGCATGTCAAACCCAAAGAAGAAAAGCAAATGACCAATAAAACTCTGTATCTATGTATATGAGCATCTTCCAGTTTACATCTAGCTAAAGGGTTAATTTACTGCCCCATATACTGGCTCTCAAAACAGGTAATTCCAAGGACTTGCAAATACAAGTTTATAAAAATGCATCGTGTACTAATATAGCAAGGCTCTTTGTATCTATGTGTTAATGTTAGAAGAATGGGAAATGTTTGAAAAAAGGATGGTTCAGAAATACTAAGGCTGTGGATGCTTCCAAGGTCATCTTTACTCTCTGTTAGTAAAGTGATTGCAGTGGTACTTGGTGAATTCTTCTTAGACATTTTTGGAGTTCTGATGGAGGTAGCTTTTCCTCGGTGTGCAAAGCTCATTTTGTTCTAGTGAACAAGACCCAGGTTATATGAAAAGTTCTGCATCACCTGCTTTTATCTTCATCATTACTAAATGCAAAGTCTGGAGTCTTTACTGCTACATTTTCTCATGCCATCTTCTTTTCAAAAGCACTTGAGTCTAGTAGCCATTACATTATAATTTTTGTCCCTCTTTCTCCCAGAGATAAGATGAAGAAATATATTTTGTCAACTTAGTCAAGCCCTTAAGGTAACAGAAACCACAGTCCTCCCATTTCAGGGATCTCATATAAGCAAAAATGAAAGAGTCTCCATCTTTTTTGCTAGCACACATGAGAGGAAGCTTTTATACTAGCAAAGATGAAATAAAAGATGTCACTGCTCAGTGATCCGATCTCTTGGTTAAGCAGCCCTCTTCTCAGCACTTTGTGAAAGCTAAGGTTACCTCATCCCCAAGGCTATTGGTGTATGAATTGTATGGCCTTCAAAATGCCTAATGGTGCTACCTGTCCATTTTCAGTTGAAAGTATATCATTCTTACAACTTGGCTTTGGTTTGCGGTCTTGGGTATTAGAAGAGCAGAGTCTAACTGTCCTCACAGTATGCAGTGATGAGTGAGCTATTCAAGCAGGATATCATTGTTGTGGGTGTGGGCATAGGGGGATCTCCAGGCTAATGGGTATGTAATGGTTTTGTTTTGTGTGGTTTATTTTCCTCTGGCTAGCATTACTGCCTTGAGAAGTGTCAGACTCAGGTCCTACCATTCACGTCCAGAACTGCAGAAAATCATGTTTGAACTAGGATGTGCTACTGGAGCAAGAGCTCAGAATGAGATGGTGTGAAATGGAAATACTGGCAATAGCTCAGTTGGTTTCTGATACAAAATGAAAAGCCCCAGAGAATCAGCTGAAATTTTATTCAGGGTAAAACATCTCGAAATTATGAGAAGTCTCAGCTACATTGTTAGAGTAGGTTCTACGTGTTTTGCTAATGCATTGTTTGTGTACATTTGAGAACATGAAAAGTCTTCTATTTTTCCAGGAAACCAAGGTGCTTTGGCAAGGTGAGAAGGATGCACAGGATGAGTTTCCGTGACTTATATCCCTGGTGTCATATAGAGAGCCGCCTTATGTTTTTGTGCCTCTCTTTGGTCAGATCAAAGAAATCAGCATTGCACAGCAGAGAACTAATTGACCTCTAAATTCTTTTTTGATTCTATATATAATTTGAGGATCTTAGATTGCTCACTGTGAATACTTTTCTTGGCCCTCAGTGACATACTATGAGTTTCGGGGTTTCCTATAAGTAAGTCTGATAATGTAATGCCTAGCATTTACTTATTCATTCATTTTCACCCATTCAGCAAATATTTATCAATCATTTATTATGTGATGGACACTAGTCTAGGCACTGGGATAGTACTGACTAAGAAAAAGTTAGTTTCTGCAAAGAAAAATATTCATTTCAGTTTTGAGAATTGTCAAATAAGCTACCATTCCAATACAACCAGGGAGTCTATAAAGTAATTGTTCTCCACAGAGAATTATTTTGCCTCATGGGGAAACAGGCAATGTCTGGAACTGTGGTTTGGTTGTCACCTCCAGGGAATGTTACTGGTATCTGGTGAGCAGAGGCCAGGGTCACTGTTGAACATCCTGGAGGTACAGGACTGCACTGCACAGCAAAGGACACCCCAGTCCCAAATGCCAACATTGCTCTCACTGGGAAACACTAGGTTATAGAAACAAACAAACTATGTTCCTATTGGACCAGAGGTCCATAGAGACTCACCTGCTTTCAAACTATTTTTAACTGAATGTTGGGGAAAATAGAAAAAGCATCCCAATGATTTGATGTTTCAGGCAAGACATGAAGGATGAACAGGTGCTACCAGGTGAATTAGTGGAGAATGGCAGGAAGGACATGCAGAAAAACTTTCCAGGGAGAGGAACTGCGCTGACTTGAGAGGTCTGAGCATCACGACTGATTGGCGGGGAGTTCTGCACAGCCTGAGCACACCCAGCATCTGTGCAGAGATGGTACAAGGACAGAATGATGCAGGGAAACCTCTTAGGTGAGCTGCTGACGAGCTTGGGATTTCTTCATAGTGGATTGACAATGGTGAAGTTTTGAATAATCTTAAGTGAAGCAAGGCAAGTGAGTTGAGCAAATCCATGTTTTCTGATGATCACCGGGGGGCAAAGTTGGTTCTAAAGGAGTGAGTCTGAAGGGTGGGAAACTGGGCAGGAGCCTTGTTTTTAACCCAGATAAGAGGTACAGTGACCACACAGGTGAAAACACAGTCACAGATGAAAGATCTTTAGAAAGTGGTACGTTGAAGAGAGGTTTCCAGTTAGTTGTGAGTGGCTGAGAACAGAGAGGACTACAGGATGATCCCAAGTCTCAGCACTGCCAGGTAAATAGTGGTAGTTTTACCAGGATAGAGAACAAAAGAAGGCATATGTTTGGCTGGGGAAGTTGTAGAGGAGATTCTGAATCTCATCTTAACAGGAGGAAAACATGAAGCCAGCCTTATTAAAACCATGGGGTCCTGGTTGCTCATCTAGCTTTAAAACTTGGCTTTGCGTACAACATCTGAAAGGATATCCTGAAAAATAACCTGACTTGTTAGCCTGGTTGAAAGATGGAAATGCAAGATGGCATCTATTCTGACAGGTTTACAAGCAGCACAAACTCATAAGGACATCCCTGTCAGAATTGTATGTTTGGCCTTTGTTGGAAGCAATTATTCTGGACAACTGAAGCATATTTATAAGGGCACCAGCTAGAAATGGCTCAGTGTGTGTTATGCTGATGGCTGCCCATGCGTTCTCTTTAGGCAGGCAGGGATGGTAATCACAGGTGGAGGAAACCCTGCTGTGGCGTTGGCTTCTGTGCTCACTTGATTGGCTGCCACAACCAGGAAGGGTACTTGACCTCTGATGGAGCAGAAGGCCCTGAGCTAATCAGTTTGGATTAATCCTTCACTGGTCCTCTGGAAGTTTCCTAGCCACCTGAAATTGAAGAAACTTCTGTTAGGTTCTAGGCATTGGGTGGGATTTTATGGTTCAAGGAAGATTTATTTTGCCCCATGCTCCAAAACAACATCCTATGTACAGCAGTCAAATACCTGTGATTCTACTCTTGCTTGAATGATTCCAATAAAACCAACTGATGTTATTAAACACTGACGATGTGTCTGGGTTTTCCTTTTTCTTTTTCTTTGCATTCAGGCTGGTCTGAAGCTCACTAGGTAGCCTAGGCTGACCTGGAACTCACGGTAGTGCTCCTGCCTCAGCCTCCCAAGTGTTGGGGTTACAGATGTGCATTATCACATCCTGCTATGTGTTGTTTTTTATGCAAGCCAGCTTGTTTAATTTTCAAAAAAAATAGTCATTGCCTTTTTAGAGTTGTAGAGACTGTGGCTCAGAAAGATTAAGAAACACCATATTAATGAAAGGGTCTAACCCCTGCCAGTGGCTCTGCCTGGCTCGATCCTATCTGTGCTGGTGGCTTCCTCTCTTGTGAAACAATGCAGATGGGAGGGTGTGCCTAAGAGGCAAAGCCCTGGCCCTGAAGCAGCATCCACACTTCTCTTATCCTAAATGTTGCCCCCTTTGGCTTTTAGTTACATATGTACTTGTCATTCCCTGTTAGACTGATGGTTCAAACAGAAGAACTCATTGCAGGTCTTCTCTCTGTGACTTTGTTCACATTTGGTGCAGTCTTGTTTTCTTGAGTGAAATGGTAATATATGCCTGCTTGCTGGTTATTATTTTTGAAAAATTATTTGTGGGAATAGAGAGGCTTTCTGTTTGTTTCTGCCAGGCCTTGACAGGTAGCCCCTGAATGAACAGCCACGGACCAAATGCCAGGATGGAATATCACTGACTCGTCAATTCCATGGGTATGATATCAGGAGCATAGAGTGCCTCTCGAGGGTCGGAGAAGTCATGAAATTCTCTGTCTGTCTGTCTGTCTGTCTCTGTCTTTTCCCCTTTAATTTTTCCTCACTCGTTCAGGTCTTCCGGTGCACTGCCTTGCCACTGGGTGGAGAGGAAGTGGACCTGTTTAAATCTACTTCATGTTAAGGGGCTGAGGATTTAGCTCAGCGGCACAGCACCTGCCTGGCAAGTGCAAGGTCATGAGCTCGATTCCCAGTGCTGGAGAAAAGCCAAAAATAAATCTACTTCATGTTTCTCTCAGCAGAGTGCTCTGAGGGCCCATTTGTATATGCAGAAAGGCTCTGGAGAGGCCCCTGAGCTCCATACTTCTAGCCCATGTGCCCAGTGCCAGTCATTGGCACACAAACCCATGCCACTGGCAAAGGCTCTGAGAACAAGTGCATCTCTGCTCCTCACCCTGCCATTCAGCTGTCATCCTGAACATGGGCAGGGGGCCTCTCCCTGGGCTTTTCAAGGCTGCAGTGTTTCTACTTATTTCTTTGGGTAAGTTTTACCTAACTTCATTTGGGGTATTTGATATAAATTAGATAGGTTACAGAAAGTTGAGTATTATTACTAAGAACAAGAATTAAGGATATTTTTTTAAAAGGAGGGTTTTGCATTTTAAACTATACTCAAAACTTATAAAAAATGGCTTTGAGGAGGCAGGCAGGTCCCTGGGAGGAGGATACTGGGCTTAAGGGACTGGAAACCAGCTGAGACCAGCAGTTAGGAGCAAAACTAGGATTCCAGTGAGCGAACCAACACCAACTCACTCCTAAAAGGCTATAAAACAAAATAAAGGGCCAAGACTTGAGTTATAAGTGTAAGAGACAGAAAGTCTTCTTGTGGAAGCACAGAAGGCAAAAAATGGCTCAGAATATGACCCTGCCCATGCACCTAATATAACATAATAACTTTCATTTGCTATATCTTGGGTTGCTTGCAAAGTGCTTTCAAATGCTCTATTACGTGTTTCATTTGATTCTAACAATGGCCTGAGGAAGAAAATCACCATCAGCCACATTTGTCAGGAACTGTCATACAGGGCTGGCCACTTGTGGAGGGCTCATATTAAGTGTCAGGCTTTGCTAAGACTGCCCTGGTCTGGTGACAGGAAGCTCAATATTTCTGGCCCCCACTACACCCATATTCCATCTGCACCCTGGGGAAAATGCTTTCTAAGTTGCGGGTTGAATGTGATGTTATTGATGAGCTCACATTGCAGAAGGGACAGAGACTACAATTAAGGACGAGAATTCTGCTGTTTGGGGATAGTTGTCAGAGTAACTCAAGGGATTCTTATAGGTTGTAAGCATTCAACATGAAATTATCTGAAAGCACTGCTCTGATTTTATCACTTCTCTGCTCCAAAACTTAGGTGACCAAACCGTGACTGAAGCATTCTTCCATGGGTGCTGGGGACCATTCCAGCCTTTTGATTTCCCATAATACATATGGATCCTGAGACCTTACCAGAGGTAAGGTCTACACTCTTTGCCCTTTCCTACTTCTGTTCTTTTGTCTAAATGGTTTTCTCCTTTAGGAATGTCCCTCTTCTCCACTGCTTCCAGTATAATCTTGCCTATCTGTGTTCAGCTCATATGATGCCTGGTCCACGAGATGTTACGTGTTTCCTTCTGCCCTCCAACCTTACCTGTCAGCACCACATATTTCAACTATATTTTGTTTCATCTTCATGGCTCAGGTTGCAAACTCGAATATTTTGTAGAAGCTGGCCTGTATGCTAAATAAGGGAAGTTATGACTGTAAAACTGTGGGAGCTAATAAGACAGTCATAAGCCCTGAAGCCCCTTAGGTAACAGCTATTACTCTGTTCTCTGTATACTTCAGAGCAGAAATTGAAACCCATGTATGTGTGTGTGTGTGTGTGTGTGTGTGTATGTGTGTGTGTGTGTGAGAGATCTCTTGATTTAAAAAATATCAGCAAATTAGATACTTTTTAAAAATTGGCTTGACTAAAAAATCTGACTAAAGATTATGTTTTGTCTGTGTTTCCAGGTTTTGTCCCTATTCTACCAAATTTGAGGATGAATAAATGCTTCAGGTCAGTAAACAATGTCTCCACACAGTATCCTTTGTGAAATAGGTATTTCTTAGTCTTTTGAACTCCAGAAAACTTTTGGGGGTTAGGAATGAGAGGGATTGAGGAAAATAAGCTGGTTAGGTTGAGTGTGCTATTTTGGAATAGACAAGTTGAGGCCACTTTCTGTAAACTCTTTCATTTTTATGTTTTATTAATCATTGCTACTGGTTCATTTAAATATTTTAATGATTGGTATATTTTACTCTTCTCATGCCCTGGGGCTTTTTGTAAAAGAAGGAAATGGCAGTTTAAAAAATTGAAATAGAATTCCTATTCAATCAGCATTTGTACTGCCTTGACATTAGGGGCTCAGTCCACTTTGAATCTAGGTCAGGGTGGCCTCAGTGACAGACAGACCCTAATTTACCTCCTGGTAGGTTCGAACCACTCTGAAATCAGACTCTAAGTAATTTCATCTCTCTAGAGATAATCTTTGAAAATTATCCCATAGAACAATTTGCCACCCTGAATATGAATCTCCATACCTCCAACAAAGCTTGGCCACATTTGAATCTTGGCCTATTAGCTATTAAAATATTTTTTCCTGGAAAACTATGTAAATTATAGATTGTGTATCTATGGGGAGTCTCTACCATATATAAATTCAGAGATGCTTAAGGCTATGGAAGCATTTTTGAACCCAGAGGTTGAGGAAGATGATTTTTTTTTTTTTACTAGACCTTACAATAAGAAAATATGAGGATGCTCAAGTCCTTACATAAAATGCAGAGTATTTGCATATAACCTAGGCACATCCGCACTTACACTTTAAATTGTCTCTAAATCGGTTATAATATTTAATATAATATGAATGTTGCATAGTCATCACACTGTATTGTTTAGGGAATAATGTTAAGAGAAACATGTACATGTATTTAGTACAGAGGCAACTTTTTTTCCCAAATATTTTCAATCTTCAGTAGGTGGGATCTATGGATGAGGAACTCAAAGATGTAGAGGGCTGTCTACCATGGTGGAAAGGTGTGCATTTTGGTGCCTTGATTTTAGTTAGATGCTTAATTTTTAGTTGCAAAATGTGATTGTTTGTGTGCAAAATGGTGAAAAAGTCACTCTTGAGAGATTTTCTTGCTTTGATGACACTCTGAATCATTCCCAGGTGGAGGTTGGGCACCGTCTTTGCTTGATCTTGTGCAAGGAGCTTCTTCCTACTGTGGAAGGCTCCAGTTTGGCCTTTTCTTTCCCCTTCTTTTCCTTGGCTCTTTCAGGACTGGCCCCAGGACCTCATGGGTGGGGTCATGATCTAGAACTGTCCCTGCAAATCCTTCCACCTCACTGGGCTTGTCATTTCTCATCTCTGCTGTAACTTTCCCTTGCTCAGGGCCAGCATTTCTAATTTCTCCCTTTCTGGGCTGCTCTCTAGTTCTGTAAATCTTTGACAGGCAGGGTGTGGAGCCCAAGTCATGCCACAGAATTGTGATTTTCCATTCCCTCCCACTTCGCCATTCTGAATTGTGACTTTTCAGCCAATTCTTAGACATGAAGTTTAAAAAAAATACATAAATAGCTTTGTGACTCACCTGAGGGATTCTTTGACCTTTTATTTCCATTGTTTTCACTTTCTTCCTTCAGCTGGAAATCAACAGTCTGCATTTAAAAACAAACTCATTCTCCACTTGACTAAAGGTGAAGTGGAGGAGGAAGGATCTTAAAAGACCCCAGAGG